AGATAAAATAAGACTATGCCAGAGAGCCCAAAATATTACTACATGTGTGTGAGGTACCAGTGTGATAGCTCAGCAGAGGGGAGTTATAAGATTGCATCTGCTCCACCCAAGAGTGGCAGATTCACATCCCACTGTCACCTCACCCTCACCACCATCTTGCTTGCTCATTATGATTTACCTAATATTTTGATCTGTTCATGTTGTCATCAAGTCTCTTGATACAAGAGGATCCTTCTTGGCCCCTTTACGGCCAATTTTCAGGTATGTCGGCTTGACAAATGCGGTTCTCACTGGTCTGATGCATTGGGGTTCCAGTCAGGAAGCTTTTTCACTTGTAAATACCCCTGCTTACAAGTGCACCCAATCAAAAGATGCCTGGAATTCTCAAAGGCAACTTATACAAATGTGCCTGTCCAATGGAAAGCAGCTTGATGGCTCCTCATTTTTGAGAGTGCTCTAGGTCACTCCCCCCTTGCACTTGGTGCAATGAAATTCATCCCCACCCCTTTGAACAGGAAGGGGAGGGCTCCTCAGTCCCTGCCCTGACTGATACCAAAATTGGCACTTTGGTCCAGCTTGTTGTTCGCGCTCCTTGTGGACAATGGGTACATGGCAGCATGGAATCTTTGGTTGAGAAGCTTCTTCAATTGTGAGGAGGGCTAGATGTCATATCTGGAGCAAACAAGTCCAGAGAACAAGTTTGTATCCCATAGGTGGTTGTCCTGTGTACCATGCAGGCTGTGCTCATGGGCTGGTGCAGCTTTCAAATATCTCCATCCTGCCATAACCGAACCATGGATTATCCCCAACTGACTGACAATGCAAATAGTGGAACACCTAGCTCTTCTTTGAATAGTGATGCTGACACTGCTGCTTCCTCCCTCTCACCTTCTCCATCTTTGTCTGCCATCCCAAATACTCAGAAGTGTCAAGCATCTTGCCAAGGTGGTCAATCCCAAGAGAGCAGCAAACACATGTGACCAAGCAGCACTGATCCAGATCAGCTAGACCAGCAAGTGACACCTGTGGCTGGTTGTCTGGAGGGGCCCATAAACCCCAAGCCCCTGATATCTGTAAAACACATTGCTATTCCACCCAGTCCCACCCAATGATTTATACAATTGCTCTTGAATATATGCATGCAACATCATTGTGAAGACGTTTGGTGCCTTTGGCAGATGTCACTTGCAGAAGGATCACCTTTCAATGACTTTCTTGATGGTGACATCAAGGAAGTCATCCTCAGCAACATCATATGTGTGCTTCAGCAGATAGATTGAGGACATCTCTTGCTCACCTGGAGGTGATGGATGTTGTTGCTAGCATTGCACAGCAAATTATCCATGTGAGCAAACAGTGTAAGATGTCAAACCTTTCATGATTAAGGGGATGGATAGGACTATTGTGAAGAGTAACATTACCCTTCATGATTATTACACAATGGTCCTCAAGCCTAATATTACTGATGCTGATGGCTTGAACTGGGACAAGCTGGGATGATACATGAGAGAAGGCAGTCATCTTGCGAAGCTGGCCAGGGCAGGCAAGTCACAGTGCCACCCTTTGAATATGGGCATTAAACATTGATTGGTAGGAGGTCTTCATGTGCTCCTGCTCATACTTGCCTTCTGTGCAACTGCAGAATTGTGCAACATGTCCAGTGTGGCGCTTGATGAGATTGTGATGGGTCTCTGTGACCCAACTTCTGGGTTTGTCCTCATTGGGTTGCCTGAATTAAACTAATAAAACTAAGGACAGCCAAGCACCATAGATGTGCCAATGGATACTGAGATGCCATTGGGGTTGGAGGCAGATATCAAGAGGGATATGGAATGTGAGTGACTGATTGGTGTTTTGCAAGAGGACTTGCCTGTTTGGAAGAGTAATCTGTACAGTAATTTGGATCCTTTCTCCTACACTGAGATAACTGTTGATGAAATACCAGGTATTCATGTGAGAAAATGAAGATATGTTTGTTTCTATCAGCCCAGAACTGCGAAATGGTTCCATCTGGAACACTGCCACCAATGATGAGAGCATGTGTCATGTATGCACACTTGGACAATGCGCTTGACGATGCCAGCATCATGAGTCCACTGTGTCCTCTCTATCTTTGATCAATATGGCTAGTGTAACTGAATCTGATCCTCTTTCAGGATCAGTTTCAGTGTTTCAGCCACTGCAGGAAGCACCCATCAGCTATATGCCAGTTGAGCAGTTATATCACACATTCCACTTTGTCCTTGAAGGCTTGGAAGGATACAGCTGCATCCAGGTGCTCAATGCTATATGTCAGACCTCTTACTGCTGGAGGATTAATGTTGATGCCACCAAAAGCTATTGGACACAGATAGATGTTGGATACATGGAGATAGCTGCACTAAACAATAAGTGGGATTGGTTGTGGCTGGACAATGACTTGCAGGATGGACAATCAATCACCAACCCAGCCAAAGACAAAGATGAAGACAACTCCAAATGGGATAAACAGTCAATCATATGGCACAGTGGTTTCCCTGTGTTGGTATTGGAATGACATCTTCTGTTCTCTGGCAATGCCCCTCTCACCATGAGGTTTCATCTCAAAAACCCAACACCATTGTACCACCAGCTTAATATGCACAGTTTACCAGTACCCAGAATGGAGGCACTCAAACAAAGCATTGTTCTTAAGAATGAGCATTGGAACCAATGCACCGAGTTTTCCATCCAAGGAGGCATCACCCTTGTTCCGGTGCACTACATATACAACTAAACTCTGTGATGCCATTGAACAGGCTGTTGATGGACAGTACTGCACTGATATGTGATACTCCTGTCCTCATTCATATTGCCTCCAAAGCCTGTCTCACCACTATCAATCTGACTGAAAGCTTTGCAATGCTGGTGGTTTCTGATGAGATGGATTTGCTCAAGCACCTGGACAGTGTTTGTTTGAGTGAGTCATCTGCTATAGTCACACATGTGTCCAACTGGGTTCAAAGCCATCAAGCTGTGCCTTTGTCTCTCTGGTCACTACACAAGACACTGAACTCAGTCACCTCTACAAAATGCCTCCACCCTCAATATATCAGCACTGACAACTATTTTATTGCAGCTAGTTTTGATCATCTGGTCAAGCTCAAACTGGAACAAAGTGCTAGTTCCGCTTCCCTCATTGTTCAAGCTATCTTTGCACCTTCCCTCCAATTGTTCTGGCTTATCTTTCCTGGCACACCTCGCACATTCAGCCACAACAAATTTCTTTCCCAGGAGGCAGCTGTCATTACTGCATCCCAGAAGTACAGTAGAACACTGCGTGGCTGGATTGTAGAGAACTTCTTCACTTTGACGTCAACCTGGAAGCGAGCCTTAGCATCACTGGCTGGGCTAGAAACCTTGATCACCTATGAATGCAAGCTGAGCAAGGAGACCATCAAGGAGATGCTGAACCCCTTCACTCTCTCACACCTGCATGACTTGCAACTGTTTGCCTGCACTGATGAAGACAACCTGCACGTTGCTTCAGGTAACATACAAAGCCTTTGATATTGATGAACTTGTAGCTGTGGTTGTGGAGTGCAAAGACAGGGGAGGATGCTGTCTCCACACTCTCTGGTCAAGGCACATGGTCAAACAACAAACAAGCTGGAGCAAGTTTGGCCTTGCAGGTCAAATTATCAAAGCTCTGCTTCTGGACCCTCTGGCAAGTATCCATTACTGGGCAAGGGAGGACTGGATGGAAGAGAGTGCTTAGGGGCCCTTTAAGAAAATGTATCTGTTGTAGTGCCATCTTTGAAGAATCATAGTTATGTACAGAAAGAGACAAATATGTGCAATCAGAGCAGCATGAATGAAGCTGGCATCAGCACAGCAGCTCTGGCAATGCTAAACATGACAAGCAAATGCTCACTGGGACCCTGTGTCACTTCATTGTCTCAACCTCACCCCCATGGCAATGAGGCAACCCCTAAACTTTTATAAATCTTAAGAAAAGTATCTCCCAAGGAGCAGATGCAACCAGCCATCAGCCCAAGCAAGAAAAGGAAGCAGGTGGTCATTGAAGATGGGTTATGGCAAGGGCTGGTTGAAAGTGTGGAGATTGGTCAAAGGCATAAAGTCCAGCGCCTGAAGCTGCTGAGTCTAGGAAATGAGACCCCAAGAGATGTGAAGCCTCTGGTTCAGAGGATAGCACATGATGGCAAGGGAAAAAGATTAATGCAGGAGGAGATGGGGCAAGAGGTGCATACTTTACTTTGCATTACCCACACCCCCTCTCACAGATTGACTGAAGCCAAATGGCCCTAAGCTGAGTGTATTCCAAGACAAGTACCAACAGTTTCAAAATTCAATGATATTTGAGCTGCTTCAGAGAGAAGCCCCTCCTACATTGGCACTGGCATGTGCATCTTGCAGCAGGTCAGGCACAGCTCTCAGATGCAAGGACTGTTTGGCCATCACTTGTTCTGTTCAATGTGTATTGTAACTCAGCATCAACATATGCTGTGGCACTGATCAAAAGCTGGAATGGATGCTACTTCAATAGATGCAGCCTGCAGACATTGGGCATGATCATACATCTTTGCTAATGTTGTGGCAAGGATGGCCAACATTGAGTGATGCATGCCATCCATCCAAATGGAGTGCATCCTATTGTGGTGGCTTACTGCAAGAGGGCAACTGCCCTGCCTGATTATGTTCAACTATTGCACCATGACTTATTTCCCACTACCACTTCTGCACCCCACATGGTATTCATGTTTGCCTGCCTGACCAACTTTTACTGACTGAATGAATCCTCCAAGAAGTCGGTGTATGACTACTGGAACAAAATTGTGTGCTGCACTGATGATGTGGTACCCATGATTGTTCCAGATTGCTATCAAGAGTTCTTATGAGCATTTTGCTTCTGGAGAGAACTAAATTCTTCCTTGGCTGCCAGATCAGCTCACTGCATGAAGGAATCCATGTCCATGGAGGCCTGACAAGTGCTCCTGCATGTGGGCCTGTGGTGTATGCCATGTCCAGCTTGTCCCCTGCCTGGGGTGAACATGACTAGAGAACAGTTAGATGATTTTATTACTGGGAACAAACTGTGAGTACCTCTAACAGAGTCAAAGTACAGACACACCATCTAACCCATTATGCAGGCATCTAGCCACCCTAATTGTTGGTGGAGATGGCAATTCCCATCTACAGCTGAAGGATAAGTGGAGAAAAGATGAAGATATCAGCATATTGGATGGTCAGGGATATTTTCTGCTGAAGGGCAAGTTTGAGGAGTATGTTGTGCAGAATACTGATCAGAAGAAGGAAAGTTTGACTTATTTATTGAGATTATGAAGCTAATTGGGCTGTAGGTGCACAAAACTTGCAGTGGGATACTGTCAGGCATGGTTTTTAGGGGAGGGTGAAACTGAGGGATGGCTGTCTCCAGTATCTATGCATGCAGTTGTGTTTGGCATAGTGTGTATGTGCTGGGTGCTGTGGTGAATTTACAAAAGGGTGAAAGGTCACCACTGCTTTCTATCATGCTATCTGACCTTTCCTGAGGCATTGGGTTAGATATGTCAATGTAGACTGGGCCGTTGCACAAGCTCTCTGAGTGTATGCAGGTGTACCCTGCAAGATCTTGTCATATGATTTGGCATGCAAGTATTGAATCAATTTCCCTTGCCAAATGAAGCAGTGTTTCCCAGAATTATGCAACATATGTTCCAAGCTAGAATGGGTGGTGCCAAAAATGCATGCTGTCAGCCATAGTGAATATTGTCAGTATCACTATTCTCTGCATTTCAAGGAGGGAACAGGAAGATCAGATGGCAAGGGAGTGGAACACCCTTGGTCTGAGCTAAACCAGCTAGGGGGGAGCACAAGAGAGATGACGTGGGGCCACTGAGAAGAAGTCATTGAGTACCATCTTTGATTCTGGATGTGAATGAAGATGATTCAAATGTGTGAGAAGCTCTCTCATAGCGGCATATCTTCTGCTCAACTCTCCAGTAGGTACCTACATATGTACTAAATGGAAGGATGCTGTGATACAAGATGGACACCACTGTGAAGATTTCAATTCACTGAGCAGTATCACCCCTGCCCACTTGCTGGCTAAATGGTCAAAGATGTCACCCATTCCCACTCACCATGGTCATGTCCTGAGCAGTGTGTACAAGCTTCTGGAAGGTGTTGATGAGTGTTATCGCAAATTGCAACCTTTGGCAAGGAAATCTAACCCTACCCAGTGCCAACTAGAAAGGAAATCTACACTCATTTGGTTGAGATTGAGAAAGAGCAGACATCCTTCCTTGTTTATGCAGGAGGCATGGACACCAGCAATGAATCAACTAAGCCCTCCCCAGTTTCCTTCATCAGTAGCAGCCTTTCTTTACAAGCCAAGCAGTGCATTTCAGTCATCTTTCTAACAACCCAGCTAATGCACATGCAGGGATAAGATCAAGGAGCAAGTCTTGAATAAGAATGATGAAGAGCAAGACAATGCAGCCATTTGCCACATGCAAGAAGGGCTTTGAGCATTTTTGGAGACATTCTGAAGAGAACAGATGTGTTTAATGCCCAGACTGGTCACAGATATTGATGCCTTGAGCTCCACACCAGGAGACAAACCCTTAAATCTCCCATCATCAGTTCTGCACAAGTGCAAGAAGCTCTTGGGATCTCCCACTTGGCTGAAGTAGAGCTGGAATTGAGAACAGGCTGCATGCTGGACATTCTTCAGAAGTTGGCTGAATCTGTGCAAAGACAATGGACAATGCAGATGATGAAGCAGAGCAATGTCTGACATCAAGGTCCTCAAACCATAGCAGTGCAAAGCATAGTGTGCCAGCATGCAGAGATTGAATGGCTTTCTGGATGCTACAAAACATGTCACAAGGCCATGCTAAGAATTGGCTTGCCTGAATGTGACTCTGTCAGGGCACCAGCCCATTGCTTGGTCAAGAGACATGACTAAGCCTTTATGACATGGAAGTAGCTGGTATACCTTGGCATGTGCTGGAACCTGCTGGAAGGATTGGATGGTCAGGTGACCTGCTGTGCATGGCTGTGCA